CGAAAAGTATCGCAAAAAAAAAATCAACACCACTTGATTACATGTAATCATCAAGGATTACTTGTAAACTCAACAAGTAGAGGGTGTAAGGATTTTGACTTAGGGTGCAAGGGTTCTGGCTTAGGGGTAAAGGATTTGGCTTTAGTGCAAGCCTTTTGGCTTGAGGTGCAAGGGTTATGGCTTGGGTGTAAGGCTTCTAGCTTAGGGTGCAAGAGATTAAGGGATCTGGCTTAGAGTGCAAGGCTTTTGGCTTGGACAATTACATGTAATATCTTGTGGATTACATGTAAATCAAATATATAGAGAGAACTCACTGTCAATAACCCTATAATTATGTGAAAATAACTATGGATTACATGTATCTTATTCTTTTTAAGGAGAATGATAATTAGATCTCAAAACATTGAATTAATGACAGTTGAGTTCTTGATTGATTCGTTTGAAAAATAAGTTAAACATATCAATTTAGATAATTACAAATTTAGGAGTTTTAATTATAAATAAGTATTTAAGTGTCAAATGTTACTCCTAGATAGCAAAGCACCCATGCATCTTATATTATAGTTTTGATAAATAAATGTTAGCCTTGTAGGAAGGTATTTCTTGAAAGAATAACTTGTAGCAAACACTATGGCACTATGTAATTATCATCATCAATATCAAATATGCATATTAGAGTAAAGCAAATAATAAAAATTAAATGCACATTGTGTAATTGTTTTCTTGGTTTATTAAGCAATTAAGGTTAACCTAATTTGTTTTCTTGTGCTATTTTAGCATCCGTGCCTTCTCTGGTCAACATTAATGTTGTCACTCCTTATGATTATCAAGTTGTTCTCAAGGTTCATATCTATTATCATTTTCCTAAAACCAGATAAAATTTAGCCTTTGAGAATAAAAAATTTAGCATTATTAGATCCTCATTTAATTTGTTGGAAATTTTCTTAAGGGAATCTCTACTGATAAGATACTTGATGTTAGAATTTTCTTAAACTTAGTTGAAAGATACTATACCAAAATAAGGTATGTACAGGCAAGTCATTATCGTTTCATACTTATCCGAATTTTGAAGCATCTCTTTCTCACTAGCTATTTGTTAAGATCTCCTGGATTACCAACAAGAATTGGGTTCCTGCCTCTATCTAACTATCTCATGTGCCATGTGTCTTTCTGATTCTCTAATTATTAGACTATAGTTCTAGTGCTTACTTCAAGGCTAGTGTTACTGATTTTATTGTGATTTTATTTTTGATTATGACACAATTGGCTGTTTATCTCAATTTGCTGATTACTTCTATGAATTTTTTGTTGTGATTTTGTTCTAGTGGAACTTCTAGGTTGCTATGCCTCTTTCTCGATTTATTGATTTTCTTTTTTGTGATTTTGGCTGTCTTTGGTCCTAGTTGCTGTTGTAGGCAATATCTATGAATCTGGTTGTGAATTAGAGGAAGATTTATCTGATATTATTGTAGACAAAGTAGATGTAATTATAAATTCTGCTGCTAATACAACATTTGATGAAAGGTTAGCCTCTAAATCTATACGAGTTTGTAATAATTTGAGTTGTTTGAAATATCATATGTGACACTGCTATCAATATAAACACTAGAGGACCACCGCCATATAGGCTTGGCGAAAAAGTGCAAGAACCTAGAGCTTTTTCTGCTTGTTTCAACGGGTAGAAAGAATAAAATGAAACAAGATCAAATATATTAATATATATGACTTGAGTGAAAAGTTCCTAGAATCAACTCTTGGCCAAGGCAGGTTTTGATTTTTGAGTTCCTTATTTGCATTGTGCAACACATGTTAATAGACAAAGGCAAGGTAAAATCACCAAGAGACCATTTATCATTGGCTATATAAAGGATGCAAAGTCCTTTAACTGTGTAGTGTCAAATTTCATGACCTTATTTGATGTTAGATTATTGTTTGAAACATGGCTAAACTCTATGGGTGGCAAGATACTTATGTTCACAAAGGCTATGGGAGAAATGATGACTGATAAAGTGAGAGAGAATTTTCTTATTGTTATAATTAGTCCTGGTGTTATAGAGAGAACTTTCAAAGATTTACTTTCTTGAAGATGATGGCTTGTTTGATTTATTTTAAATTTTAGAATATATTTTAATTTTTTTAAAACAGGCTTATGGGCCCTAGCTTTGAGCCCTTGGAATAAGGGCCGAGCCAAAAAAATGGGACAATTTCAAAGAAACTAAGCTTCCAGGATCTATATATGCAAGTGAACAATTTTCATGAATATTTTTTCAATTTAAGCCACCGGGGGGCAATTTGGTCATTTTATAATTTCATGAAAAATTTCCATTGATTTTTTCATTTTAATTCAACATGATCAATTTGGTCATTTTATAGTTCAACTTTATTCCAATAAGGGACTTGTGCACCAAAAAGGAAGAATGATAATTTAGTCCCAAAACTTTAAATTAATGATAGGTAAGTCTTTAGTAAAATTATATATGAAAATGAGTTACAAATATAAATTCAAACAAGTATTTTTAATATTAAGATCATTATTTTGCTTTCAGTATTTTTATATATAAAAATCAGTATTTTTAAAGGACATATGCACCTAAAAGAAGCATGTTGGCAAGATTTCAACATGGCATTTACTTTATTTACAAATTTTTGGCATAAAACTCACCCTAACATGTGTGTGTTTGGATAAGGGCCAAAATCGATTAAATAGCCTAAACTTGATTTTTTGGACCAAGTTATCCAAACAGCCAAAAAAGCTAAAAATTAATTATAGGCTTTAAATGTGTGTTTTTTCATAAGCTCTCTGGATGAACTTCTATGAAAGTTGATCAAAAAACATTAGGAAAAATTATAAAGAAAGGCCCAAGAAAAAGTTATAAAAAGGCACAACATTAAATAAAAATAAAACCAAACCCTCTTCTCTTCTCTTTTTTTTTTCTTACTAAAATTTAAATTTTGGATCTTCAAAAAAGTTACTAGTATGAGTTCTTGTCAACCACCATCCTCCACTTAGCACTTACTATAAAACTGATTCAAATAAAATATTAATTGGTAGAGAAAAATTAATTTATTTTGATTTAAAATTTAAGGTCATTACAAAGATTGTTGCAAAGGTCCACAGAGAGAGAGAGAGAGAGAGAGAGAGAGAGAGAGAGAGATTTTGTGTCATTTGTTACATTACTATATTTTTTATGTTGCTAAAATTTCAAGAACTAATACTTAACATCTTCATTAGATATGACTCATATCCATGATGTCATTAGAGATCAATTTATATATTATCATCTTCATTAATTATTTTGAAAAATTTATGTTTCGTATTTAAGAATTAAATCTTTCTCTTTTATTAAATTTATTTTAACTAAGATATATTGAGTTACTTATTTACATAAATTTAAATGTTAATATTAATATAATTTAAAATTTTAATTAATTAGACATGTAATTTAAATAATATATTCTATTTCTTAAATAAAACGTAACAACTTTAATAATATTAGTTAGAAATTTATCAATAATTTAATTTTGAAAGGCAATGTCCTTTATGATAATTTATACAACTAAAATTGATTCTAAATAAATTATTCAAACACCTTCAATTTTATTAAAATTAATTTTAGAAAAACTGTATCCAAACAAATTGCATTATAATATATCTATCATTTAATCAATTATTTTTATAATCTCTTATACTCAACTAAAATTTAAACGAGCATTATGTCATGAGGGCATTGGTGTATTGTATTTTTAATTTACCCATTATGATCATTATTTTGTTATGAGTCCTTCATATATTGCTAACTAGAATGAGTATTTCTATTGTTTCGTTGTCCAATACGCAAATGCTAACATACAGAGGGATATGAACACTTATTATTTGACTTTCTAGTGTTTAGAGAAGAAACAAAGAAGTAAATTTCAAGTTATAAAAGTTGAAATATTTTATGGGAAGCTAACATACACAGGATGACTCATTAATTATTACAGTGTCTTTTGTAAAAGATAAACAAATATGGGTAATTGTTACTCATAATTGTTACCATCAAATATGGATAATTGTTTTATTATTTTGAAGATATCTTCATATGTTTTACCCTAAAATGTTTTGGATTCCTTGTAAAAAGGATCATATTACATTTTAGATGTGATATAATTCTAGCATTCAGTGCTAATTAAATTTAACCTTATGATTTTTAGATCAATATATTTAGAGACTCTACTTAAAACAATGTTAGTCCAATAGTTGATTTTGTTGTTGAGACTTTATATTTTCAATGTTAGCTTTGTTATTTTGGTGATTCTATTCAAATTTTATTATTAAATTAATTTATAGTTATAATGTAATATTAAATAAATATAAAAATCATGTTAATGTTAATGCAAAACATGTTAATCAAACAAGTTTTTTTTTTCCTTCGAAACATGTTTTGAGAATAATTTATGAAACAGACTTTTGTTTTTTTCAGATGTAATTTTCTAAAACTATTATTCTAACAAGTTTTTTTTTATTCTTGTTTTGCAAAATACAATTTCTCATAACAAAAAAAAAAAAGTTTCAAACAATGAGCTCTTTCATTACTACTACTATGTTTCTTATTTGAAGATTTCTCCCCCCCAACAAAAAAAATCATCTTCATTGCCGAATTTTAAATTTTTTTTTCATGATTTCTCTTTTTACTGATGACGCCATTTATTCTCTATTCAGTTGATTCGCTATTAAGAGCTTCTTCATCTGCGTCTGCTCAAGAGCTATGATGAAAATGGTGCCTCAGTTATTATAGAAAGGTAATAAGTTGTATTAAATTGAAAGGAAAGAGGAGAGATTTTGAATATGGGTTTCAATTTCACTCTAGAGCTTGTACTACATTCCTTGCAAAATATTGTTCAACATTGATTACAGCAGTGACCTTAGGAAATATGCAGCAGAACTTACCTTCTTGCCAAAAATAAATTAGTAAAATTGGGTTGTTTTCAATATATTTCCCGCTGTGGATATCTGAAAAATGAAAAATCAATAATATGTGCAGGTTTAGGCTCTCGGCACTGGAGTAGATAATCTCTCCCCCTGTTCTATCCAGTATCCAGCATCCAGCATCAACAGCAAGTGCAGCTTCATCAATTTTTGTGCGAATATGGAGTCTCTAAAATCCTCACTCCTATTCAGTCCTTTACTCCTACCTCCTCCTGAATTCAATCACACATTTTTGAAGAAGAATAAGAAGCCCTTTATTAGACCTAAGATATTGCCCGTTCACTCCTCAATCCACCCAGATCCTTGGTCTCCCAAATACGGCGACCCTACTAGTCCGAAGCCTAGGAGCAGGAATCCTAAGAAACCTCTCTCGGACAACAATGCTCGTCGCATTATCAAGGCCAAAGCTCAATATTTGAGTGTTTTGCGGAGGAACCAAGGTCCGCAAGCGCAAACCCCAAAGTGGATCAAGAGGACCCCAGAACAGATGGTTCAGTATTTGCAGGACGATAAGAATGGCCATTTGTATGGTAAGCACGTGGTGGCCGCTATTAGGAAGGTGCGAGCTCTGTCCCAAAAGGTGGAGGGAGAGTATGATATGAGAATGTTGATGGGGTCGTTTGTGGGGAAGCTTAGCTTTAGGGAGATGTGCATTGTTCTCAAAGAACAGAAAGGGTGGAGGCAAGTTAGGGACTTCTTTGCTTGGATGAAATTACAGGTTGAGTTCTTGTTTTCCTTTTGGTATTCGTTTTGATATTTTTATGATGCTATAACGAGTTTCACATCAGGAACCTCACAAGTTAAGTAAGGTTTATAAGTTCAAGAACTTTTGCACCTATCAGACTAATCTTTTAAGATGAGCTCTCATTTTGAACTTGTGTTTGTTATACTGGTGCTTTCATTGAGAAATAGTTCTATTTCACACTTTCTTACATACTTTTCTTAGCCAGCACCAATGTAATGATCACAAGTCTAAAGGAGAATTTATCTTAAAAGACTAGCTTATTGAATGAGAGAGCCCTTTAAACTTATAAACCACATACTACTTGTGAGACTCTCTAATGTGGGATATGTGACAATGACACCTCCTTGAGAGTCGATGTCCTCAGCAGCTCCACTCCACAACACTTCACTTGAACTTCTACTAGTCAAAACCCTTCATGGCTAATCCTTTCTACGGCACCACCCTTTCAATAAAAAGCAAAAATATGACGAGCACAAACACAAAGAAAGAGCCCATCCCAAAAGACTAGATTATTGGATGGGAGAACTCTTTACACTTATAAACCACAAATCACTTGTGAGGCTTTCTGATGTGGGACTTATGATAATGCATCTAAGAATATTTTTGGATAAGCATTCTAAGGCTTTGACCGGTTTAATTACCTAAACTCAGTTCATCAGTAGGAAAGAATTACCTGAAATCATTAGAATTTGTTGTTTTGCTTCTTTTGTCCTTCAAAGCATAAAGATTAATGCTATTTAATCATAGTTTGTTGTTTGAACAGTTATGCTACCGCCCAAGCGTTATTATCTACACACTAGTATTGCGTGCATATGGGCAGGTTGGAAAGCTAAGACTTGCTGAAGAGACCTTCTTGGAGATGCTAGATGCAGGGTGTGAACCAGATGAAGTTGCTTGTGGCACTATGCTCTGTTCATATGCCAGATGGGGGCACCATAAGGCTATGTTGTCATTTTATTCAGCAGTAAAAGAAAGGGGTATTATATTATCTGTCGCTGTCTTCAACTTTATGTTGTCTTCTTTACAAAAGAAATCACTACATAGGAACGTTGTAGAGATATGGAGAGACATGAAGGGAAAAGAGGTGGTGCCTAATAATTTCACTTTTACAGTTGTCATCAACTCATTCATCAAAGAAGGATTGCTTGGAGATGCTTTCAAGACTTTTGAAGAAATGAAGGATGGTGGGTTTGTTCCCGAGGAGGTAACCTATAGTTTGCTTATTAGCTTAAGTGTGAAAAATGGTAACAGGGATGAAGCAATTAGACTATATGAAGATATGAGATCTCGAGGAATAATTCCAAGTAATTACACCTGTGCTTCACTCCTATCTTTGTATTACAAATATGAGGACTACTCTAGAGCCCTTTCCCTATTCTCAGAAATGGTGAGCAAAAATATTCCTGCTGATGAAGTGATCTATGGTTTGCTCATAAGAATTTATGGAAAGCTTGGTTTATACGAGGATGCTCAGAGAACATTTGAAGAGGCAAACCAGCTGAGCTTACTCACTGATGAGAAAACGCATTTAGCAATGGCACAAGTTCATATTATTTCAGGAAATGTAGACAAGGCCACAGAGACTATTGAACTCATGAAGTCTAGAAACTTAGGGTTCTCTCAATTTGCATATATTGTATTATTACAGTATTATGTGATGAAAGAAGATTTAATATCTGCTGAAGGAGCATTTTTAGCCCTTAAGAAGACAGGATCACCTGATGCTGGTTCTTGTAATGATATGCTCAATCTGTATACAAGACTTGGCTTGATTGATAAGGCCAAGGATTTTATTGTCCAAATAAGAGAGAGTCAGATACATTTTGATGAGAAGCTTTATCATACAGTGATGAAGTTTTATTGTAAGGAGGGAATGGTACTAGAAGCTAAACAGTTGACAAAGCATATGATTGTGACTGAATCTTTTAAAGATAAGAAATTCTTCCAGGTGTTTTATTGGGTTCTTTGTGAACACAATGGACATGAACAATCTGATGATAAACTTATGGACATTGATGAACCTGACACTGTAGCTCTTGGGCTAATGCTCAATTTATATCTGACAAGTGGAAATTATAGCAAGATAGAAGTGATATTGAAGTTATTGCTTGATTCTGGTGCTGGATCAAATACAGTCAATCAGCTTATTGTCAGCTTTCTCAAAGAAGGTATGGGGACAATTTAAATGCACTGTTTGTGTTATCTGTAATGTGATTTTAGAAAGGCCTCATTGAGTAAGAAATTGATAATCACACAATCTAAGATTTATGTGTTGGTGGGAGAATGTATTCCACGTATGCAAGAGTTTGATGTGTTGTATCCTGTGTCACTGTGTGTGCGTCATAGCATTTGAATAGTATCTTTCTGAGTTTTCACTTATCTTTGCAGTAAAATTCATTTACGCTTGTTTTTTTTTTTTTTCACCCAGGAGAAATCAGCAAAGCAGAGACTATCAGCCATCTATTAATGAAGCTTGGGAGATTGGCAGATTCCACTGTAGCTTATTTGATTAGCTATTATGGCAAACAACATATGCTGAAACAGGCAGAAGATGTCTTCAGAGAATATATCAATTCTCATAGATTGAGTAAACTAGTATATGATTCTATGATTGATGCATATGTCAAATGTGGTAAACAAGATGAGGCATATTCACTTTATGAGCAAGTAACAGAGGAAGGGCATGATCTGGGTGTTGTTGGAATTAGCATTCTTGTGAATGCTTTGACTAATGGAGGTAAGACTTAGAATAGTACAGCGGACTAGGTTATATATTTATATTATCTAGTACAATCAATTGCTTCTCGTTCTCACATATAGTTCAGTTTATAAGATGGATTTGTCAAGGCAATATGTCTTCAATAACAACAACAACAACAATGTTTTAATATGTCTTCAATAACATGGTTTAATATTTTAATCAAGATGGATTTGTCAAGTTTTAAAAAAGCTCTACAATAATGCTCTTTATTCTGCAGTTCTGATATTTACGTAAAGATCTACAAGCCATCATTTACTGATTATGCCCCCTTGTATATATGCCTGTCCCAATTTATAGCCAGGTAGCCTTGCAGCTTTCCTGAAGTCAACAACTTTAGCAGTTTTTCCCCCTTCAATTGATGTTGTGTGTGCTCAAGTATGCAAGGCTTCTTTTCAACTCATGTATTTGAGCAAACCCACTTCCAACAATTCCTGCAGTACTCAAATTTTTCAAAAGATTCATGGAAATGCTGACCTCTTATAACTTGAAGTGTATTTATGAATTAGGTCTAATACTAAATTTTCTCATTCGAAATAACTTCTTTTGTTTGAAAGATCAAAATATAAAGTCCAGTGGTGACGACAAACAAAATCTTGGTTTACTTCCTGATTCCAGGATAGTTTCATTCACTCTGTACTTGTAATGTTAAACAAACATGGAGTGATGTGATTTTTGTCATTAATGGCCCTGTCCTGTAGTTTCAGAGAATTAGAGTAGGAATAGCATTATGTTGATTTTAGCATGTAGCTATATTCTAATGAAAATACTGATAATCAAATGCATAAATCTTGTCAGGAAAACATCAGGAGGCAGAAAGTGTTGTCAGAAGAAACTTACGAGCAAACTTGGAGCTTGATACTGTGGCTTATAACACCTTTATCAAAGCCATGCTTGAAGCAGGTTGATGTTAAACATTTCATTTGAATTGGAAGATTAAAATGCTGTTGATATCAAACATTTCATCTGAACGGAAGATCAAAAGGTTGCAGAATGCTTGCTAATACGTATCAATTGTGCAGGCAAACTTAATTTTGCTTCCAGTATTTATGAGCACATGAGTTCCTTGGGTGTTGCCCCATCAATTCAAACGTTTAACACAATGATAAGGTAATAATTTTGATAAGATACTGTATTTTATTAATAACTATTCATTTCCTATCTCTTGTCACTTTTGACCAAATTGTTAATCTGTTCGTTACAGTGTTTATGGGCAAGACCAGAAGTTGGATAGAGCTGTGGAGATGTTCAACAAGGCTCGTGCATTGCTTGTGACTTTGGATGAAAAAACATACATGAATTTGATTGGCTATTACGGGAAGGCTGGTAGTGGGCTAATTTGATTTTCATGATTTTTTTCTCAAATCATGTTATAATATCTAATGTTATTGATATAGAATGTTGGTAGTTTTAGGAAGACATCTTTTTCTTGTCATTTGTTCTTCAAACACAGTGACGTATATAAATCTATAGAGTAAATAGTAATGGCTATTGCTTCAGTGGCAGTAGTCAGCTGGTGGCAGATCCCTGCTGTGTTTCTGCAATGCAAATACAAGGGTCGAAAATAGGGAAAAAAGAAGGAAAAAACAAAATTACTTTGATGTGGTCGGTAATTTCTACTGTGCTGTAATCAAATTCTCTGTTATTTATTTATTTTTATAGGTATGATACATGATGCTTTGCTGCTGTTCAATAAAATGCAGGAGGAAGGGGTAACACCTGGAAAGGTAAAGTTGCTAGGTTTATTCTAATTTCACAAGAGTATATATTGGCAATTATCTTAGAGAGAATTGTCAAAAGGCCGCCTAGTTTAATAGCATAAGAAGTTAAGTAAAAACTCAAGGTTTGTCTTTAGCAATTATATATCTTCTGTGCTTGTTTACGTTTGGTTTACTCAAGATTTAGACAATTTCTTCAGTGTACTAATTTTAGGATTCCTTTGGTTACTTTTCTCAAGATTTTGGAATTTCTTATTTAATGTACTGACTTTAGGATCCCTGAATAGAGCTGTGTGTTGCAATCACATATTGTAAGAGCTCTGTGTTGCAATTTCATACTGTGAGTAAACGGATTATGTGGTTCTGTAATATTACATTTCCAATATTTGAGATGTAGCACAATTTAAATTTTATATTCTTTTTATATTGTAATTTTGAGATAACTTTGCTAATGCAATTTCTCGCATTTACTGGGGAAATGCAGATCAGCTATAATATTATGATCAATGTTTACGCTAATGCGGGGCTTCCTCATGAAGCAGAGGAACTTTTCCAAGCTATGCAAAGACAAGGCTGTTCACCTGACACTCTCACCTATCTTTCCCTTATTGGTGCATACACAGAGAGTCTGAAATACTCTGAAGCCGAGGAAACCATTAATGCTATGCAGAGCAGGGGCATCTTGCCATCCTGTGCTCATTTTAACATTTTACTCTCTGCGTTCATGAAAGCAGGGCTTATTGACGAAGCCAACAGGGTGTATAAGAGACTATCCTCTTTGGTTTAACTCCTGATCGAATATGTTTTCGAACAATGCTGAAAGGTTACCTGGAACATGGACGTGTGCCAGAAGGTATTAACTTCTTTGAAAGTATAAGCAACTCGATAAAAGGAGACAGGTTCATCGTGAGTGTTGCTGTACATTTATACAAATCTGCTGGGAAAGAAAACAAAGCTGAAGAAATATTGAATTCAATGGACAACATGGGGATCCCATTCCTGAGGAAACTTGAAGTGGGTCAAGGTCAAAAACTCCATAAGAAAAAGAGCCATTTAAGCAATGCATGTGTAAGATATGACTAATGTCACACCGCGTTGTATATTGAGAAGAGAGATAGAGAGAGTGGTGTTAGGTGTGGCTCAGTACCCTATATCTGTACAGTGAATTTACACCTTTGGTCCTTTTTTGGATCCCAATCTACCCTGCTGCTTTGGTTTCCCCTATGGTCTTGACATTTTTAAGTTTGACAAGGGCTCTACTTCAAAAGGTGGTTAAGGTTATATGGTGCCATTGAATTAATGGATGAGGATCAGGGATCTTGGGATCTTTTCTGGGGATTAGAGACTTCCTCTACGCTACCAACATTCTCCTTTCCATTTTGTAGAGCAGAGGAGGAGATTGAACGACGCATTGATGGAAGAGGAAGTGGAGAAAATGGCAGGTTAACATAGCTCTATCTGATAGGAAGTTTGGGAAGGCAAATATTATAGGAAGAAATGAACTTGATTGCTTTTGCTTTTGCTTTCTATTCTTTTAATCATTTATGTAAAGTTTGTAAGTTTTCCTTCCTCAGGAGAAAAAGACAAGTATTTTTTTTTAAGTTTTATTTTTCTTTTATTTTATACTTTATGCTGTAAATGTTTGGTTATGTTTCCTTCTTGAAAAGGAAACCATGGTCTATAAATAAAGCATAGACTGTACGTGTAAGGAACAAGTTATTGATGAATGAATTAGTTTGAATGACATTCTGAAAGGCTCAATTTTTTTTTTTCACCCTCTTATGCTTTTTAGCATAATAGCCCCATGCGGCATAAAAGGGTTCATTTTTTCACACCTCTTGTTCTTTTCAAAATAATTTTGTCTAATGTTTTTCCTAGTGAAAGTTGCAATAATCCCTTTCTTGCACAATTTTAGTTGAATTTTACTTACCTGTGACTTATTCTTTTTAGGGAGACTGATGATTAAATTCCAAAACATTAAATTAATTATAGTTGAGTTCTAGATAGATTTGTTTGAGAAATAAGTTAAAAATATCAATTTAGATAATTATAAATTTGAGAGTTTCAATTATAAATAAGTATTTAAATATCAAATGTTACTCTTAAATTGTAATAAAAACTAGCAAAGAACATTCACCAAAAAAAAAAAAACTAGCAAAGTACCCATGCCTGTTATATTATAGTTTTGATAAATAAAAGTTAATCTTGTAGGAAGATATTTTTCAAAAGAATAACTTATAGCAAACACCGTGGGATTGTGTAATTATCGTTGTCAATATCAAATGTGCATATTAGAGTAAAGCAAATAATAAAAATTAAATGCACATTGTGTAAATGGATATGATGGGAAGCAAATTAACAAAAATTTATAATTATTTAAATCAAATTATTGAAGATTTCCTTATAAATAACATTATAAGTTCAATCTATGGAGTGACTGTCCTTATCAAGAATCAATATTTTTAAACTTTTGTTTCTTCAAACATGAGAAACAACAACATATAATTGGTTGCGGGGTGAGAATAGGATAAAGTAAGTACAAACTACCATAACACATGTTTTGTAACCTCTCTCAATATTTACCTGACATTACGAGAGGTTAATTTATCACCACATCCTTAAACCAAATTATATTAAAAATCTTGTTTGAAAAGCTTGGATCCAAGAATTGTTTGCAAATCCTCAAAATCATTTGAAATCTAATGCAAAATAATTAGTGCACAGCGGAAGACTAATGCTTGCATTCATAATATTCAATACATGCCTTTAAAATCAAGAAAACTAGTCAAAATTTGAGCCATGCACTGTGGCGTGCACCACATGCACCACAGCATATGGCACTAATCACCATACCCTTAAACCAAACTGTATTCAAAAATCTTGTTTAAAAAGCTTGAGACCCAAGACTTGTTTGCAAATCCTCAAAATTATTTGAAATCCAATACAAAATAATCATTGCACAGTAAAAGACTAATGCTTGCATTCATAATATTCAATACATGCCTTTAAAATTAAGAAAATCAGTCAAAAATTTAGCCATATGCCGTGGCATGCACCACATGTGCCATGGCATGTGGCACTAATCACCACACCCTTAAACCAAACTGTATTAAAAAATCTTGTTTGAAAAGTTTGGATCCAAGACTTATTTTGCAAATCCTCAAAATCATTTGAAATCTAATACAAAATAATTAGTGCACAGTGGAAGACTAATGCTTGCATTCATAATATTCAATACATTCCTTTTTACTTAGTCAATCTAGGTTCATTATCCCTCAATCACCACTTTCTATCACTTCTAGTGATTCCATTTCACTTCTACTTAATTTCCACCCTATTTTTCTTTCATTTAGAGCCAATTTAGAGCCTATAGCTTTAAAGCTCTATCACTCAACTCCAACCCAGTTACAAAACTTTAATCTAATTCTCAAGAATCTTTTTATTATTATAAGGTAAGAAACTAACTCCTTAAATTTTCCCGATTCAATTTCTCTATAACTCATGCTAAGAGAAACTATAGTAGAATCAAAGCTAAGGATCGTACAAAGCTTATCTAATAAGTTACCAGTCGGACTTGCCTTCCAAGCTCCCAAATACTTTTTCCCTAACTTACCCTTTCTCTCTTCTCCTCTCCTCTCGTTCTTTTCTTTCTTTTCTCTTCTGAAATCCTAGCTGATCCATAACTTATTATTTGATTTTCTGTGCCATGCACTATGGCGCAGGCAGCTTGTGCCGCGACATGTGATACAATGAGAAAAATCCTCACTAAGAGCACATGCTTCATTCCGAAACGCTATCACCACACTTGTATCTGCTCATTTAACACCCAAAGTCTCAAATCATCAAGTTATCATCCAAATTTCTAATCATTTGCTAATTACTAATTCACCCCTGAACAATAACTAATTACAAGATTAGAAAATCAAAATGTTACATGCTCTGGCTTTAGCTCTCATTAATGGTCATGGAAAAAACCAACATAATGAGAAACTACTTCCTTATCATGGTAAATAGAAACATGGAATTAGATAGATGTGCACATATCAATACGCAGTATATAATTCCATCCCTACATTTGATGTAGACATTTCTTTGGGCTCAATAACATGTGTTCCAATTAGTGTAATTATGAGACATATACCATTGCATAACCCCATAAATATATCAATGTTCCATATTAAAATAATTTGAGCACCCACTTTAAGTCTTAATTCATGATTTAAGAGGGCCTAACATTAAAATTGAATTTAAAAAATTTGTAGAGTACATGCCATCAAGTAAATACATGTCCCTATCATCTTTCACACCATTACCAAAATTTAAGTATACAACTTCCTCACCAAGAAGTGGGGACAACATGTACCTTGTTACTTCTTCAATCATAGTCAACATAGGAGCTAATATAACCATATCTCTAAAATTCAAAGAATTACAAACATTTTAAGGAAATCTGGGAAAGTCAAATCAACAATGGACTTTATTAGGTTATATAAACCTTCCAATAACAAATTCGATTAGGATCTTAGTATCCACAAATTTTTCATTAACTATAATAGCAATCTAATCACCAATTGATAATCTAGTAAGCAAAATCTTGAGGAACACTAATAGATGCCCTAGTATTTGTTGCTTTGAGTCATATGTTTCTTATTATTGCAAGGAGTTGGAAATTATCGCAAATGTATGAAGAGTTAGTGATGGCAACAACTAAAAATATTCTCTCAACCTACCTGGAATAACATGAAAGGTTTGCTTAAAGTCTCAACCAAACACAACAACTTTTCCTCTAAATGGAAAGATTGCCAGCTAATGGGTTGTTTAACTTTAGAATATCCTTTAAATATATGTTAAGAGTTTCAATACAAGACTTGTGAGGTATTAGACCCTTATCCAATATTAACAACTTCAATTTAGTAATTAATAACTTTAGTTTAAGTATTAACAACACAGTTAGTCATAACTTCAATATAATTGTGCAATAACAAATATATTTATTATATTAACAACTTTGCCTTTATTATCAACAACTTTAGTTTAGTTCTTAACAACTACGTTTTCTATTATTTTATAGAGGGCCAAAAACATAATTACTAAAAAAATCACTCCGTTTCATATTATTATTTTGTCATTTACTTATTTTAAAGAGATTTATTTATCATTTTTCTAATATATATACATATATATATGTATATGTATGTTGCCCTAACATTCTAAATTTTCTGGCTCCATCACTAGCAAAAGTGGGTTAGCTATTAACCTGGTGCCCAGTTTCTATGCACTAGGATCAGGACCAGGCAAACCTGATATAAAATATAAGTTTGGTCTTCTTTTGAAAACATGATCATTATCAAATAAATTTAAAATAACAAATAAATTTTATGCACTATCTCCATCTAAAACTATTTTCTCTTGAAAAATAGTATTTTAAAATTTTAAAAAATCAATGATTATATATTATTTTAGAAAACAAATTTAAATTTTGAATTAAAATAATATATTATTTTTTTAATATTTCATGATAATAACAAAGCAATTTATATTAGGCATGACACATGAAAAAAGATAATATTATAAAGTCAATTAATATTAATAAAAATTCTAAATAACACACACACACACACACACACACACACGAATATATCCTAAGAAGGGAGGACCAGGTTTACGCACAACTCAATGTCTTGTCTAACTCGATTACCTAGGTAATACTGGACTTGTTGGGTTACTAGATTAATATTACGTCCCCAATAAATCGTAAAAGCTTATCTATTAATTTTTTATTATCTATATTATTCTTAAATTATGATAAGTTTTAAAATATTATTAAAACTATTTTTACTCATATTTATCTTAAGTATAAAATTATTGGAATAATTTTTTATTGATTTGAATATTATTATTAAAATATTTTGCTAGAAACGTATTTTTAAATAACTTCTTAATATGATTTGAAATTAATTGGTTATCCTAATTTGGGGATGTATAGATAACAAATATTTTTTAAAAATATATCCTAATTTTTATAGTCTTTTCTTTTTATTTTAAATTTTTTTCATTAATTTTTCAATTTACATGATACACTTGTCAACTTATTTTAATTTATCATTTATTTCCTCCTTTCACATGATGGAAGAAGAAAATTTAGTATCTAAGGAATTAATTATTCAACTTACACAGGGATGGAATTGATAGCAAGCTAAGATAAGAATAGTAAAGCTTTGACTATTAATATTTTATTGTCAATGTTATTTGAAATTTATAATAAATTTAAACTATTATTAAAAATATTTTTATTCATATTAGAATTAAGTGATAAATTATTGGACTAATCTATCACCCATTTGTATATTAATATTATAGTATGTTATTTTTAAATTTGATTTAAATTAGAATTTTTGAAATTAATTAACAATTTATTCTACAATTTGCATTTATTTTAAATATGCTAAAAAATTTAATAATCAAGAAAAAATAATATCAATTGTTTGTAAGTTATGGGGTTTTAAATTTGTATTAAAAATACTATAATTATTGATATTTAATATACATAAAAAATCTAAAAAAGATTTTATAAAAAGATATATAAAGGTAAACTCTAATTAATTCTAAGGATAAAAATTTAGGCTCTTTCTTTTTAATGATATGATTTGTGATTGACATAAAATAATTTCAAAGTTTACAAATTATCTGTTAATTATTCTTTTGAGGAAAAGAAATCTGAAAATACCTTCCCTTCATACAACCTCTCATCAAA